AACGAGAGGTTTCAAGCTCACTTAAAGAACAAATATGAACTGTTCCATTTCTAAAAAAGCAAGTAAAAACGAGAAGGTAAAGAAGAGAAAGACACTTTCTTCTAATCAGACTCATTGGACCAGCAACATAAAGGTCATGGGTTCGATTCCCTGAGAATGCACTAAATGCTTCACAATAACACCTCACATTTCTGAGGCACTCAACAGTTAATATGCAAAAAATAAAAATAAAATAAAACAGACAAAACAAATGGGTTTGTTTTTTTTCGCAGTGATGCCATCAACAAACTATTTTGGGTTCCTCAGAGAACCTTTCAGTGAACAAAGAACCATTTGAACATTGGCATTAATAAACAATAATAAAATATAGCCTCGCCGAATTGTTCCGCTGCAAAATTAAACAAAGCGTATCATTGTCATCAGGCAGTCGTTTCCGAGAAAGCCCTTCATAAACCTTTTTATTGTGGGAGATAAAAATGACACGTTCGAATTCCTCTGCCTTCTGACAGGGTAAATGGTAGCACAACATTAAGAGTGACAGATGATCTTCTGCTTCGGAGTCACATATCCCATCAATTAAAACCCGTCTGACACTGAACCCTTTCCTGGCACCCAACAAACATTCTTCACACCCAATCACTGTACAACACTGACAATGCCATAATATCTATCACACCACTTGGGTATAACTTGCCCCTCAAGTAATAATTTAAAGGAGCGTATTATGTACTCTCACAGCCCCAGATGTAAGGCTCAAGTACCCCGTCATTCACAATAAACCATAAATGTGTGCTTTTACCTCTTACACTGGATATCATTTAACACATTAACATTTTCCACTTCTAAACTATAAGGTATATATATATAACAATAAGGTAACTCTTTATCGATTGACAAGGCAACTCCTCTCAAAGTATTGTATTAATTACCCCAAAAAATACTATATTAAAAAAATAAAAAAATTATCAAAAATTATACAAATTTTTTAAAAATTATACTATATATATAGTATAATATATATATATATATATATAATATTTTTATATACAATATTTTAAAAACGAATTAAAAAAATAACGATATATATATATATTTTAAAATGATTAATTATTAATTATTTTATAAATAAAACATTAAGTTAACAATTAAAAAACTTTTTACAATTATTTTATTTAAAAACTACATTAAAATTAATATTTTATTCTATATATTTATATAATATAGATTTTAATAATAAATGTTAAATCTTTTCAATCATTAACACTCACTTTTTACTATATTATTTACACATGTGTAAGTCGCACTTGTTCTAAATTCTCTTTTTTAATAAATAAATAAATAACCAAACTTCCGAGGTTTGGACGAGGTTTACGACACATGCAAGAACAAGAGAGAGCAATGGAAAGAGTGATGGGATAATTGGAGTGGACGAAAGACAGTTCTGACAGTTTTGTTCCGCAATGTGATGTGGACAAGGTGAGCGCAGGCACATTGCAAGAACGGATAAACAACAAAAAAAAGAAACACATTTATAGACCCATAAAACATCTGAACGGAGAGAAAACGAACACGACCAGTGAGCTTATTTATTGCAGTACTCCTCTGTGCCTTGCAGTATTCCTCTGTGGGAAATGAGGTTAAATAATTGGTTAAGGATCAGAGCATTAACATGATCGTTGCTAGATTGTAGTTGTGGTTTATTACATATCGTATTAAAAAACTTTTTACAATTATTTTATTTAAAAACTACATTAAAATTAATATTTTATTCTATATATTTATATAATATAGATTTTAATAATAAATGTTAAATCTTTTCAATCATTAACACTCACTTTTTACTATATTATTTACACATGTGTAAGTCGCACTTGTTCTAAATTCTCTTTTTTAATATAATATAATATAATAAATAACCAAACTTCCGAGGTTTGGACGAGGTTTACGACACATGCAAGAACAAGAGAGAGCAATGGAAAGAGTGATGGGATAATTGGAGTGGACGAAAGACAGTTCTGACAGTTTTGTTCCGCAATGTGATGTGGACAAGGTGAGCGCAGGCACATTGCAAGAACGGATAAACAACAAAAAAAAGAAACACATTTATATAGACCCATAAAACATCTGAACGGAGAGAAAACGAACACGACCAGTGAGCTTATTTATTGCAGTACTCCTCTGTGCCTTGCAGTATTCCTCTGTGGGAAATGAGGTTAAATAATTGGTTAAGGATCAGAGCATTAACATGATCGTTGCTAGATTGTAGTTGTGGTTTATTACATATCGTAATCAGACAAGAAATCAGATTTATAAAAACAAATGACATGGCCGCTGAGCTAAACTAGCCATTTCAGAAGAACACAGTTTATTTAATCAGAGCAATAGAAGGTAATAGATGGCGCTCATTACAGTAGCACTGGCACGGGGCGCATTCGCACTCATGAGTATAAACACACACACACTAACATAGACACATTAATAAAAGCCCTGACACACACAGGAACTTTTATAAGCAGATGTCGGACACTCTCTCCCTTTCACAGACACACAGCCTGACATATAAAGTCTTATATACACACGCAGTCAAAGGGATACATCCCTGCACACCTGCAAAAATATACAGGGGAAGCAGTGATCTGATGGTTTCCTTCATAATTACAGAGTACAGAACAAAGTCCCCCCACCTTCTCTGAGCCCCCATAAACCACCTGTTCAGCCCCTCCCTGCCACTTACATGCTATTACCCCCCAAAATTCCTGAGAGAGTCATGGATAAACTCCTGGATTTATGATTCCAAGCCAGAAAGCAGCCAGATGAGCTGAAGACTGAAGTAAAATTGGGATCTAGACAGATAGACAGACTGTGGGGTGGTCTAACCATGCATGTCTTCATGAAAATCTCGTATATATAGTAACACACATAGTCCAAGCAACGATTCAAACCTACTTAATACACATGCAAATCAAAGGGGAGTTTTACACTGAAAAAATGGAATAGGGACAATTTTCACTCAGAAATTGCTATTAAACGTCACAAATAATTACAAAAGCGAGTAACAATAAGCCTGTTTCCTCCACAGGATGAAAAAAAGAAAAGAAAAGGTAATTGCGACTTTTTTCTCTTTTTATCAAAATGGTAAAATATACATTTAGAATTGAGAGATATAAAATGGGCTTTATAGTACTGAAGTCCAGATATCAGGTAAAACAAGAGAAAAGGCCTAACACAAAAAGCCATTATTATATGCATTTTGTTACTTCTCACATTAGAACAAATGGAATACTTGTTCAAAGAAACTGCACTGTACAAAGCCAATATGTAGATGTTATCTTAAAGGGATAGCAAACTCACAGTCCATATAGGCTACCTCAAATGCTGTATTCCAAGCCTTTGGAGCCATAAGATGGGTTTGTGTGCCAAACAAACCCAAATTAATTGACAACGTTCCTGTGTCTGGACTATTGAGTCAACTCAAGAACCGGAACAAATCATTTAGATCAGATCAACCAATTCATTGAAAAGATCAAACTTGTTTACACATGACTACTTCGATTATGCAGAGCAGATGTCAAAATTATGAGAGGATAAAAATGTAAATTTTAATTGGTCCCTTGCATTATCGCTAACATATGGCTCCAAAAGACTTAATATCGCGTATGAGTTATACAGTGACTTCGCATCCGTTTTGAGGTTTAACACCTGTAGTAACCATTCATTGTCATTGCATGGAAAACACATTCATAAACCTTCATTCTCTATCCCTTTAAAGAGCTTAAAGGGATAGTTCACCCAAAAATGAAAATTTGGCATCCAAGATGTAGGTGACTTTGTTTCTTCAGTAGAACACATATGATGATTTTTAACTTTAACCGTTGCAGTCTATCAGTCGTATAATGCATGGCAATGGTAACAAAATCTATGAGAGTAAAAAAAACACAAAAGCCTGCTCGCCTGAAGTTATGGTTGATTGCTCTTCGGCTGGATATCAACACACACATTAACGTAAACTACGCCAGAGCGCGTACACACCTCACGCACCGGATGCCGTGCGCGCGCTCAAAGAAGTTTTGGACATAGTGGTGTATTAGAGGTAAAAAAAAAAATGGTATAAATACTGTTCGGTTTCTGGCACAAACCGATCGTTTCGTGTCTTAGGACATCAATGTGTCGTCACGAGCCGCAGGGTTTAATTTGGATTTGTGCATGTTTTTTTTACTCTCATAGATTTTGTTACCATTGCCATGCATTATACGACTGATAGACTGCAACGGCTGGAGTTAAAAATCATCATATGTGTTCTACTGAAGAAACAAAGTCACCTACATCTTGGATGCCAAATTTTCATTTTTGGGTGAACTATCCCTTTAACTTGACGCATCTCAATGTATCCCGGTTTATAACATTATTTATTTAACTTTAATAAAAACCGGTAATGCAGCTGCTACCACATTTTACGTTTATTGATAGAACAATTCTACACTGCATCAGATGCTTGTGAAAACACCTTTCCCTAAACCACAAGCTGCACACAACACTTCGTCTTGCACAAACTAATCTCAGATTTACACACACATACTTAAAACTTGTAGGCCACAGAGCATTAACACTTAAGGCCAGAAGGAAAACAACACCTGTCAAAGAAATGTTTTACACATGTCAAGGTACAACTCACCAGGTCAAGGTATGCGTCAACGTAACCAGTCATTTCTTTAAAGTTTAAACACATCGCGGATCCAGAAAACTCTGGCACGCCAAGCACAGCGCACGCGATCCAATTCGAATGAATTCAAGAGAACCGAGTCGCGCGAGCGAAACGAACGAACAAGAAGTTACGATCAATGCGATTCTTTCATCACTCTCTCGCTCCTCGATTGCATCTACTCAAGTTCAGTTTTAAATCACCGCGACTTCTCCGTTGCCATATGCATCATATCTGACAGACATGAGAGAGGAAACTGATGAAAACATCGTTTGATCGGTTCTGTGAAAGTTAAACTCACCCACTGTGACTAAAATCCGCGAGGAGACGACAAGAGAAGCGCGCACCCTCCGTTCCTTTCACACTACACGCTCGTTTCTTTCTCTCTTCTTCCTTTTCTCTGCCTCTCTCGCTCTCTTTCCCTCCCTCTTTCTCTTCTTTTCGGCTCTCTTAGAAATAATTATGCGCTCTGATTCAAGAACCCTCTCACGTGACTCCACCCTTCAAATATACAGCACATATTTCACAAGCCACAAAATGCCTAGAGGGAAGAAACAGAGGCAAGCTTAAATTTCTGTTTTTAATTCTATGCCTCTCTTTCTTTCTTTCTCCTTCTTTTTCTCACTCCTTGAACTCTGTGTATTCACAAAGTGACAAGCACTGAGTAGCACATGATATAGGAATGCCAACCAGAAGGAACTCTAGATAAAATGCTGGATACAGTTTCTTCTCATTTTAGACGACATGAAATCTTACTTAACTGATACATGTTCCTGGGCTTATTGTGAAGGGTTCATCGGTGCATGTTATTCCGGTTGGGAAAACAAATCGTCTTTGCAATCTGTCATCGAAATGCAATAACGTGCTTCGAACACAGCGTGAAAGTGTGAAAACCCTAAATCATGCTATTCATGCGATGTGAATTACAAACTTGCATGAACAGTAGTAAATATGAAACAGGAAAACACGTAAAATGATGTTGGATTAACAAGTTGAAAAGCATTAAATAAACCAGTAACATCCACCAATGAATCATTTCAGGGTTTACACCAACAGTAATGATTTACTTGCCACAAAAGTCCACAAGAAAATGGCATCTTTTTGATGATGGGAGACTGTAAATATGGGAAGTTCCAAACTTCATGGTGCCGAGGGTGTGTCCGGCTATATGCCGCTCTCTATGTGTTTTATATCAGTACAGTGTGCAGTTTGTGTTTGTATGGAACAGTTCTGCGCTGGGTTGTTTGTGGTTCTGGGCGTTTGCCTGGGTTCCTCCTAAAGCTGAAATTCTGTACTGGCTTTGGTCAAAAAGAAACCCCCAGAAACCTCACTGTGAAGACACACCTTAACTGGCTCCTTTTTGACGGTGCCATCTCAAGCTCAGGGAGGTGGCATGTCAGGTTCAGCCTTGGGTCTGATGGTAATTTGTGCAAATAAATCAAATGGAACACTTGTTTTTATTCTAAACTCAATTATTAGTTACACAAAAATATATTTACATATGGTCATATTCTAATGTTTTGAAAGGTTAGTTGGACATGAGACAACATCGCTGTGTACAAAAGTTCTATTCAGTTTGTACTGGACTAAATATGAACTTCCTTTCAAATAACATTTGAGAGCATTTTCAGCATTCAGATTTTTATTTGCTAAGATAAACCGTTTACTAAACAGAGCTCAGCTAAAGTGTACCACACTCTTAAAAATAAAGGTGCTTCAAAAGGTTCTTCAAGCGATGCCATAGAAGAACCATTTTTGGTTCCACAAAGAACCATTCAGTCAAAGGTTCTTTAAAGAACCATCTCTTTCTTACCTTTTTGTAATCTGAAGAACCTTCTTTCGCCACAAAGAACCTTTTGTGAAACAGAAAGGTTCTTCAGATGTCTGAGGTTCTTTATGGAACCATTTAGACAAAAAGGGTTTTCTATGGCATCGTGAAGCACCTTTATTTTTAAGAGTGTAGGATACTTTAGCAGGGCTGGCATTGAGTCAAAATACAGAAGTCAACAGGAAATCGTTTGCTTTGCCACACAACCCTACGCTACACAGCTTTATATCACTCTTTGTGATATTAACTGTCTGTCAAAAGCACTACTAATTTAGAATGTGATCACTAAGAATATGAGGATATTTAAAACTAAGGAAAAAAATTGTGACAAGAGATTCGATGCTTTAGGAGTCTCCCTATCAAATCATTTCAAAATACTTAGTAGATGGGTTTAATTTCTCTTACATTTTTGTTGGAGCATCTAGTTTATCACGTTTCAAACAATATTACAGTATGTGCTGTCATTCTCCGTGTGTGTCTGTGTGTCAGTAGCAGGAGAGAGGTCAGAGGTTAGCGGTGTTTGTGTTTCATTGTCAGTGAAGTGTGTTGGAGGTTGAGATTTATGATCTCTGTGTTGGGAGACTGCAGAGTGGAGGATAATGAAGATAGATCAGACTGCTATCTCTCTCGCTCCCCTCATTCTCCCACACTACCTGTGTACCTCTCTGTCTGTCTTTCAGTCTTCCACATTGCATTTCCCTTTCACCTGCTTTACTCTCCCTATTTCCTGTTATTCTGCTTTTAAACAGAATTCTTGCATCCGAATATGGCTACTTAGTATTGGCATTGATGGTTTCATGAAGAGCCTTTAACATCCATGGAAACTTTCCACTGCACAAAAGGTTCTTTATAGTGGAAAAGGGTTCTTTCTAGCCATTTTTAAAAAATGGTTCTTTTAAGAATTGCTCACTGAAAGGTTCTTTGAGGAACCCAAAATGGCTCTTTTATGGCATCACTGCAATTCTGGAACCTTTTGTCTATGTCTTGATTTTTCACAGGTGTTTACCCATATTTTGAATTATTGTATTGCATTGTGTTGTGTTTTAGGGTTAAAAGAAATGTCTGTAAACTTTTTTTTTACAGTAAAAAAATATGAATATGGAATTGGCATTCAGATACTAATATCTTAATGACTCTTCCTTTAAATATGCATGGATACGCAGTTCATTGAATGAGTAGTAGTTGTCATAACACATTAGGGGAACTATATTGGACGACACACCATGTCTGCTGAGATTCCGAAGTCCCAGTACTGAGGAGCCATAATAAAAAAAAAACTGGCTTTTTTCAAAGTGGTTCCTTGTGGATACATTGTAGGTTTTTGAAACACCTTCAGTAAATTATTAAATTGGGTGTTGTTAATACATCATAGGTGAAAAAATACATAGTTGAATGCCAACAAAGCAGATGCATTCATCAATAAAATTAGTAAAAATAGCACACACTCACTGTAAAAACAATTTGGTGTAGGAACAATTTTCACTCAGAAATTGCTAGTTCATTTTACACTTAATTACAAAAGAAACAGCAAGTAACACTGAATTAAACATGAGATTTTCAACACTGAAATAGTGTTTTCGTGAATGTTATCCAATACTCGAAAAATCCTTTTTCACTGTGTATTTGAACACAGGCTCTCTGTCATTTGCTCCCCCTCTCCCCCTCTTTCACCCCCAATGGTTGCATTTGTCACTCTTTACTATGACATCATAAGTCATCTTAAAGGCCTCTGAAATCATCGTTATTTTATCCTTCCTCCTTCATTCTTTTTCATCCATGACCTTCTTTTCCTCTGTGTTAATTGTCAGGAGTGCAAATAAATAAACGAATAAAATTTCCACTAAGACAGTGTATTTATTTTTTGCCAAGGACTAGTGGGCCTGGATGGAAACAAGACGGGGAAGAAAACGAAAAAGGGAGAGGAGGAGAGAGAGAGAGACACATAACTGGTGGCCACGGCAGGTTTTAATCAGGAACAATATGCCTGTAATGAGATCATTATTTCCTTGCATGCTGATTGATGTCATGTGAGGTTTTGTACTGCAATGAGAGTGAGACTTGCGGAGAGAGCGCGAGGCGGGCATGTGCGCAAACGTGCGCAACGCACATTTACTCAAAGCACGCATAAGTAAATACACGGACACAGGCACACGGAAGGCATCCGTTTTCAGTTTCAAAGTCAAACGTACTGCTCGACCAGTAAAGGGCCTCATTCATTCCGCCTGGCAAAATGTACACATTTAGACTCCAACTGACATGAAGAAATAACATGCACGGTGGGAAAAAACACGGAGAGCTTTTGGGAAAAGCTATAAGGGGAAAAAATGGGACAGGCTGTGGTGTATATTTTGCATTAAAGTTCATGTAAATGTATAAGCCACATGCCATATTTAATCTGCGGTTGCATATGTGCGCAGGCTTGTACTTATTATTTTGTGCGCGAGTCAAGGGAGCGAGCGCGCATCGGAGGTCCAAACAGAGTTGTCGGAAAATCCTAACAGAGTGCCAATAAGCGCATGCAAATGAGCGCGCGGCCTACCCTCCAACATATGTGTCCAGTGAAAGGTGAATGGCCCTCCTGTCTATACTTTCCTCACAATCAGCCATGATGTCACCATGAACCCTCTCTGAACCGACCTCTGTCAAAAAACATTGCGCTCTCTCCCTCTCGTCTCATTTTCCACCTTTCCCTATTGCACTCACCAGGCTGCCTCCCCTCCAGTCCGAATTCTTTTGGTGAAGCCACATTTTTTCTTTCTTCTTTTTATTCGCTTCTTTCCATTCAGCCCCCCCCCCTCTCCAACTCTCTCTCACTCTCGCTCCCCGTTTTCGGATCCAGGCGCATATCTGTCCGTGGCTCTCTCGCTAATTGAATCAGTACAAGTGAAGCGCACTGCCAAAAGTACCAGTATGTTCCGATTAAGATGGACTTCAAAAAGGCGTAAAGGGAAAGAAAGCAATGGTGGAAATATATGGTACGGCTAAAAACAGATAGAAGTCGGGGAAGGAAGTCACTAAAAGACAGAGATAGAGAACGCGGAGAAAGAGAAGAAGGAGAGAGGGGCTGGAGGGGGCAGCGGGAGAAGCAGCCTGATCCACATATGGAAGCAATTCTGTAATTGCGGCAAATCTTTGTGCTCGAGAGGAAAGGTCCCCGTCTCAATGCCTTCTCCTTCGCAAATAAAACTGCCATTGTACAGTGAAAAAAATGACGTTGAAACAATGTTCACTCAGAAATTGATAGTACAGTTTGCAAATAATTAGCCTACAAAGAAATGCCTAGTAACTAACTGAATTAAAGCAATATATGCCCAAGAATTAACCTTAGCTAAAAAATCTACAGTCCCTCAGGCCATCCAAGATGTAGATGACATCTACAGATTTCTTCATATTTGGAGAAATTTAGCTTTACATCACTTGCTCACCAAGGGATACTCTGAAGTGAATGGGTGCCGTCAGAATGAGAGTCCAAACAGCTGATAAAAACATCCCAATAATCCACAAGTAATCCACATGACTCTAGCACATCAATTAATGTCTTGTGAAGTGAAAAGCTGCATGTTTTTAAAAATCAAATGCATCAAGGCGTTTTAACTTTAAATTGTCCAAGAGGCCATAATCCATTATTATGCTTC